CAGTTGTCAGGACAGTTTGCTCCAAAGCTCTCCATCAGATAGACAGTGTGTATGGTCTTCACCGACTTCATTTCAAACAGTCCCAGGAGGCCTCACACCTTCAAGCACCTTGTGCCACGTAATGCACACAGTCAGCATCACACTATAAAAATACCACTCTGGCAGCAGGCAACACAAATCTTTCATTACAATGTACACCCGGGACTGAAAAACCACAAAACCCAGTTATGTCTCATGGCAAAAGGGTGCTGCGCTGGACCCAGGGGAGAATGACTCAAATGCTTTGCAGCATGGATGTGGCCCCTCCAGGCCAAATGGCTGGTGGCACGGTTTTTCTCTGCAGAGCAGTCCACAAAACCAACACAGACACAGACTTTAAATTCTTCAAATAGAGGGTCTTAACACTTGCGAGAATGGGTTCAGCCACTGTGATTAGAAAATAAACCCACTCTATCCCAAATCCATGACAGGCTCAGGTTTGAGATGTCAGCTGAAAATGTATCATAGGAAAATGAAATAAAAGGAATGTAAAAGTTGTGTGTTCCATAAGGGACCCCCGTTGCTTCGCACTTTTGGATTAGTAGACTTACAAACAAACTGTGAAACTGCAAATACATTCTCATTTTTAGTCCTTAAAATAAAAATCTGTTAATTTGTAAGGAGATAGCACAACATTCAGAAAAGTGTTATTAAAATTCTGTATAGTTCCTCCAGAGAATGTGGTTAATAAAATGAGTAAGTGAACTATAAATCCACACCCAAAAGGCATAAAAAAACCTTGAGCAAAATAATAAACACGTCTACAAAGCAAAGAAAATTTATCTAGTAAGTCTGCACACAACAATACTGAATTTCATACTCAGAAATTCTTCCAGCTCACAGTTTTTTCAGGGTGTTTCAGCTCTGAGGACAGAAAAAAAGGCAGAAATGAGCTATAGCTTACAGTCTCTTTTCCTGCAACTGCTTTTGAAAGCAAGGGGAGATACCCTGCGAGGTGGCTGAAGCAGTTTTTCTTGTTAAAGAACAAACCTGGCAAGTCTGTGGTCTTCTAATGGGAAATAAATTCTTTGACACAAAAAATTGTTTTGCAAGACCATAAAAACAAAAAGCAAAATGTTGGCATTTTAGTTTGGGTGGAGATATATTTTTTTTCTTTGATTTTCTTAAAGGAGGCATTTTTCTTAGCAAAAGTTATGGATTTTAACTGACATAGGTATGTAACTTATGGGCATATATGGAAATTAGGTGGAAATTAGATGTAGTAAGCCATTACTTGAGCTGGGACAGATGTGTTTTAACCCCCACAGAGATCTTCTCGGCCTCAAGGCGTCACTCACTATTTATAATGGAGTAACATCTTTAAAGACCTCGTTTCATGCCACGCAACACATACAAAGGAGAGGATCTCCTTATGCTGAAAACCTTAATACAATTATACAAAGCAAAAGCTGAAGGAGAAAAGAGAGGACAAAATATGCCCAAAGTCACCAGGAAGGTCAGTGCGGAGGTGGGAATAAAGCCTCTTTTTCCCAGCTCGCCAGACAGTACCCTCGCTGTTCAGAACGTACTGCCTCTCAAGGTCTTTCTGCACAATGTGCAGCAGGACTCAGGTTTTATGTAAGAGTTTGGCTTGGAGGAAGTATGGACTCTTCACAGCAATGGCCAATGAATAAAAGAACAAAGGAAACACCGGAAGGGCCACTTTGCCCTTGAGACTTCACTAATACAGTCAGTCATTTTCGACCGCTACAACTCTATAGCCCGTGGGAAGATAGGAACAGATTCCCTCCAACATTTGCGGATCTGCTCTGTACGTAACCCAATTTGTCATGCAGGGCCTCTGGGGCTGGGATTTGCCTATTAGCGATAGTGTGCCCATCAGTCAGAGCGCTACCAGAGGCTGTAACGTGCATAGTATTAGCCCAGTTTTATTCCTCTAATTGGATTACATATGGCCAGCTATAAAAATGCTTGTGGCTGGTACACATATTACTGGCACAGTGGTGTCCTGGGCACAATGAAATCTTAAGTATTCCACTTCACATCACCATATGTTTTCAGTCAGGCTGGCTTAGTCCTTGGAATCAAAAGCAGCCCCCTAGTCAATATGCAAACACATGCTACTGTGAATACAATAGCAGTAACAAAAATGTGCCTGTATTTGCCTTTTATACTGAAAATGGGTGAATGTCTACCGAAAAAGCTCTTATTCTATCAACAACAGTAAGACATATTCAGCATATTCTAGTATCAGACTACCACTGTGCTTTGGAAGAGGAAGAAGTTGATAGAAAAAAAAGAAGAGATGGCATAAAAACTGTACCTGTAAATTAATATTTGGACCTGGGCTAATAGGAAGAGTGGCTGTTGCAAGTGTGCGAGTGAGAAGCTGGTTAGGAGGATTGCTGCTAGGTGGATGTGTGGCCTTCCAGTAGGCTTCCAGATAGTCAGCAAGGTGCTCACAAGCATCTTCAAGCTGGTTCTCATCAAGAATTACATCGAACATTTCCTAATAAAGGAAAGGTTTTAGTGAGAATAACCACCAGCTAAAGGGAGATCAGCTAGAGACATGGATGTCCAAACCTTCCATTCATCAAAAATGAACTACATTTCTAATACTTGTGTTAAGATATTTCACCGGTTTTGGTTGTTTTAATGCAATTGATACAAAAGACAGCAATCATAACTAGCACTAATGTTACACTTGCTAAAGCAAGTCCTCATGACTTCCACTTAGTAATGCACAAACAGTCAATGAAGATAGGAAGAGGCAGCTTGAACAAATCTTAAAACTCAAATATCCAGAAAGAAAGGTTAAATATTGAAGTTTTTAGCTATTGGAATAAAATGGAATGGCAAGAAAAGGGATTCACTCCTCATATCTAGAATAACTAAGAGAAAACTAAGACAGACTGAGACCCATAACTAATAACAGTAAGAAACACAAGTAATACAGATCATCCAGTTTCCACATGTTGTACAAATATTAGGTAAGAGATTAGTCACACGGTCTAATTTTAGGCATCTAAAGTTAGGAGGTGAGTTTCCTCCGTTCCCTCCCTGGTCAGAGAGACAGAAGTCCTCCTGAAGGCGGCTTTGAGAGCCTACACAGGTCTCTAGCATTCTTCATTGACTTCCTGGGGACCTGAGGAGACTAGTCTCTTAACTGCGATGCTTGAACTTAAATGATGAAAACATCCCACTCACTCAGCTCTGTAACTATAGCAAATTCCCATACCTGCAACTGAACTGAACCTTCATCTTCTGGTCTCTTACCCATACTCTTGACAGTTGAGTATGCAGGTAACAATGCTTGCCATGTTTAAAACACAGCTGGGGTCTCATCATCTCCACTTTATAGGTAGAAGTTGAAAGAATTTGCTTCAGTGCACCCCAACAGAAGAACTGCAGAGCTCTCAGCTACGCAGCACCCCACAGCTCTTTGCCAAACCTGTGACCAAGAACGCCAGCAGTGATGGGCTACGGTGACATACACCCAAGGGGAGCTACCCAAACCACCGGCCTTACCCTAAACTGCCAGAGATAAAGCACAGTCACTAGGAGGGTTCATTTTTAGACCAATAACCCCAAAAGAATTATCGAGTAAAACAAATGCTCAGCTTGTTCAAGCGGTGAATGTACTCAGCACACATCCTAATAACTGCTTGTGACTAGGACTGTTTTTCCCTGCACCCTTGTGCGGAGCCCAGAGACCTCAGAAGACGTTCTGCAAAAAAGCAATAGTGAAATATGGCCAGAAGAGGGCAAACATTCCCAGAAATTATGTAATTCACCTCGTGCTTGAAAAGAAGGGCACCTTTCAAAGACAAGATGCAAATTAACAGTAACTCACGGGAGGACACTGTGCCAGTTTATCAGCTGCCACCATCTGAACATTAAGGTGTTTGGCCTGAGATTTCCCTCGAGATTTTATTAACCTCTGTAAAACCTGTGAAAAATAAGACATTGATAAAAGTGAGCAGGTTCGGACTTAATACATAACTACTTAAAATGTTTACATTAACTGCCCACTTGAGCCGATCAAATTCTTCATTTGCTGGCTTCAGGAGCATTTCCTATGCTGTTTACATCCAGAACAAGCTAATTTTCATTTACTTCCCAACATCTCCTTTCCTGTTATGAGCACTAAAAAGTTCCCCTCCTGTTTTCCTCTGCTGCTTCTGGTTTTGTTTGTTTCTAAGTCGAAATTCTTTAATTGCTCTCCTGAGTTCTCTTCCCATAATTTGTTCTTCTCTTTCAAGCGCCTCTTCACAAGGTCTGTGCAGGTTTTTTCACAGAATGAAAGAGTACATTACCAGGAGATGTTAAAGTTTACCAATCAGTCTGATATTCATTATGTGAAAATCTTGCTTTCATTTCTGTATTATTTTGATTTAACAAACTGTTAGCATTACTTACGTGATTGATACTAAATCCCAATTTAAAAACACCACTGGAGCTACAGCATCTTTTCCAAAATAGGTTTTGGGAACATCAGAGCTAAGATAATTTTTTGATTAATAATATTTCACCATCCAGACAGAAGCAATAACAATATATAGCTCTGAACTTTAATGAGGACACGTGATTATCTGCATTTAAGTCCAAAAAAAAAGGAAAAAAAAAAAAAGACTGAAACAGCATGAATGTCAGTAAAATATTTACCTTAGGAGAAGAAATCTTTACGTATACTATAATGGGAGCCAGAGAGGTTTTGCTTAGTTGAGCTGGGTGGTTAATGGTATCAGCATCAAGCACTACCAACTGCAGCGTCCTTGCTAATTCAAAAATCCGTTCAATTTCACTTTGAACTTCAGCTGCAGATAAGTAGAAAATTAGAGTTATGAAAACATTAAAAGGCGATTAGTTTTAAGAAATGTAAAAATGTGGTATACTGGTGTGTTGCTCCTCCTCAGGTTGGTAGGACTTGTTAGCCGTGCACGTCCCTGGCACGCTAGGGAAACGAATGCAACGTTAACAGGAGCGTTCTGCCCCCGGTTTGTTGCCCTTGCAGGCAGCACTGCCTGCCTCTCTCACCTCCATCGCTTCCTGCAATCCCAGCCTGGAGAGATACTTTCTTACAAGACCCCAGTCCATGTATGTAAGAAAAACAGAGGTAAGAATGCTTGCTGCATCACATGGTAATCTTACTATGCCATTAATTTGCTACACGTAAGTAATTTCAGCTCAGACTTTAATCTTATGTAGTAATCCATTTGCTCAAACTGGAGTGCCCGAGATAAGCATTAAGACATGCTGAGGTGTCTATATTAGCAGAAGCTCCTGTTTTTCCATTTACTTCAACTTATCAAAGCTCTGGAAAACAGTTTCCTTCAGTATGGTACCATACTAAAAATTTGATTACTATGTGTAAAACACTTAAAAAAAAAAATCAATAATCCAAATAATGCTATGGTATCCTCCTCACAACCCCAGGAATTCTGGAAAGGTGATTTTCCCAGAAAAATCATCTTGTCTTCTGGTAACTCATGCTCCCAACTCCTCAGCACCCTGCCTGACTGGCAGTAGTTTCCAGGGCAAACCTCTCCAAGACAGATGGACTGCGTCCACTTTCACAAGTGACATAGTAACTGCCTTCATTCCCAAATTAAACAAAACTAAGTATTATAATAGCAAAATCATCCTTGAAATGGAATCACATTTTCCTGCTCAAATCTTGCTACAGGCTGACTTCACAGAGAAATTACAGAAGTTGGGTGATTTGTGTAAGTCTATAAAGAAAGTTATAGAGCCAGACAAGACTGTAATTCATATAGGTTTCCCTTTAAAGGCTGTGCACACTCCATGAACCAAAACCAGATTAGATATCTAGCCCATTCAAAGTAAATATTAGAAGATAACCAACAGAAACTTAAATGTCAACAAGAGGTACCAAAACCTTATTTATTAGAGAGTTTCTTGAAATTACACTGTCAGCATTTTATCTATTATGCTGGCAGAAACATTACATTTGCTTGAAAACACAGCCTATCTGATCTGGCTAGAGAGAGTTTTCTATAGCGAATGGTCTCTTTCAAGAAGTCTGAAGAGATGATTTTTGTTATCTTAGAATAGCAACTGAATAAATTAGGTACCACGATAAGGTTGCAAAATTTCGAAGAGAAAGCAAAGCATCCCAGCTAGTCTCCATTTTGCTCAAAGTCTTTCAGTTCCAAAACAACAGTTGACTACTACGATCATTTTACAAATGAAGTAATATCTTAAATGGCCATCACAAAATCTATACATGATGCTCTCTGTTGGAGGAGGTTGACATTGTTTTGGATCTATTAGAGATCACCTCCATCTGTTTGTAGTTATCTCCAATTTTGGCTGAGTACTTGCCAGTCTGTCTTTTACAGCAGAGAACATGGCGAGATGTGCACGGCGTGCTGGTATGACAAGCATCGGTGCGTGCTTTCCTGCTTGTCAGTAAAAGCATTGCGGCCCAGCTGCTGTCTGAATTACATTTTTGAAGACAGAACTTCTGATGGTTCTTGGCACATTCACAATTACATTTTCTGCAACTTCCTTACCTAGAGATATTGTTGGAATGACTGAATACCATTGTCTCAGTGATTTAGTAGAAGATAGTCAATAGTCTATCCCTAATTTAAGTCCAAATGACAACTAGAATAAGCATATCAGAGATAATTTGTCATACTGTTCTGCTGATGAGTTTGGATTGCTTTCCTGCAATTTCAGACCAGGCTCAACACTTCAGTCAGTATAACAATATCAGTTAATGTTATCATCTTAAGACCATTCCAGACTGCTAAAAACCCTTGTTCAAGACAATTTATACCCAGCAAAATCTGTCTTTTTGCCACTGTACCATAATTTTGTCTGGGGAAGCAGTATTCGCTACACTGCTGGAAGCACTTTTCTACCAGTATAGAATACATTTCTGTGAACTGGATTTCCTGCTATACTTTTTGAAACAACCCTTTGCCAGGGCAGAGTATGCCTCAGGGTTATCTTCTCTTGTGAAACATACCCAGGACAATAACTGCAGGTAACTATGGTCCTATGAACCAATAGTTTCCACCTGAGTCCAAAGATGGAGAGACATCTTTTCCATCGATTAAAAAGTATTTCAGTATTTATTTTTCTTAACTTGGGTATAAGAGAAAAGTTCAAGGAACTACACTGCATGGTTGATGAACTAGTATGTTATGCCTCTACCTCTCCAGTCCAGAATGGATGGAAAAAATGCCACAGAGATTGCCAAAGAGGTCCTGATCTCCTGTCCCTTAGAGTACTTCCTTCAGCTTCTGGAAAAGCCTGCATTTTGCTTGCCATCTTCCTTGTATTCTAACTTTTTACTACACATAAGGTTATTGCAATTACTTAAATAATAGTAGCTTCTCTTATTAGATGACAAAGGCTTTATCTACTGCTGCAGCTTTGGTTTTCATTTTTATTTAGCATCATCTCTCAAAAAACAAAATCTATACCTATAAAGATTCTTTCCAACAAGACACTCAACATAAATTTTCTCTCAGACTTTTGCCAAACTAAGCAAAGAACCCTAAATGTCATGTGGGGATAGTAACACAAATGGCATTGGTAGTTAAAATAAGGAGCTGAGATCAATGACAGTGTGGTATCTTCAAAGCAGCACAGTAATATCTTAGCAATCTTCCCACCTCCATGAATATATTCTATTTATAATCATGTCCCTTCTGATGTACTGGAGAGGCATAACAGTGAGGCTATAACACTTAACTCCAATAAATTATATTTGCCAATCATAATGAGAGGCATCAACATAATTAGATCTACTGTGACAATCATCATGAAACGATGGCAGCCCAGCTACAACACTCATAACCAGAAATAAGCATCAAATTTTAAAGTGACCCTTACAATCTATTTGATATGGCCTCCTTGGTAATCAGAAAGGGAACATATTTTAAATGACAGGAGCACTCAACTATTTATTCCATACAATATGGGGTCAACTCTGAGAAACAAGAAGTACACATCTCCAGCCAACTTTAAATATTGCACATTTAAACTTACTCCCATATATTAATTCCAAATATCCCTACCATACCCTGAAATGAATAGAAATTCAGAGCAATGAGAGCACAACTAAATGGCTTATCCCATTATGGGGCAGACAAATATTCTTTACACCAGTTGGATCTTACAAGTGAATTTCAAGCAAAAATCTTTAACAGTTCATTACAATAACCTCTCCTAAAGTAAAGGCAAAGATGCAGCAACACTGCATTGCATCTATGTCAATTCACTAATAAGATAAACTATGATAGAATTTAGGGTCAAATACAATGCCATGGTAAAAGAACATTCTCTACACAGTTGGAGAAACACAATCATCCTTCAAACCTGGGCAGAAAGCATCCATAGCACCCGGGAGTCACTGGGACACCCAACTTGATAGAGCAGCAGCTACATCAGCACTATGTTTTAGGAAGACCCTGATGTAACTGCCCCTGAGGCAGTTTCATGATGGGGATGCAGTGCAAAATGGCATGCTTCTGGCCTGCAAAGGCCAAATCAGAAACCACAAAATATTGCTT